GCCGGCAAAATCGATGGGAACCTTGGGCCCTTAAAGCTAGTCTGGGAATTTTCCTTTCCTTTCCGGGGCAAAATGTTCAGGAGCAGCAAAAAATTCTCTTACCGCGCGTGGCGGCGAGCCTCTGATTAGCTGCCATAGGCGCGGGGCCGGCACCGCTTGAAAATCCACGAGAAAACCAAACCAAACCCAACAAACCCAATGTGCACTTTTGCACTTTCTTACTACAACATCTCCCCGCGACATAACTCTCTCGGCCCCTTTCCCTCTAACGGGCCTCTTACTACGTGACGGGGCACTTCTGATTCGGAATACGATTTCTGTTTGCTGGGGGTTTGCTGCTGTTGGTGCGATATGGATGTTACAGCTCTTCGGGACCGCATACAGTCAACGCTCGACCCAAATGCGGATAATCGCCGTCAGGCTGAGATAGATTTAAAATATGTATGTGGAATACTTTTGGATGGATTTGATTCTGGCCTATACTCATACCACTATCCGACTATCGTAGGCCGAGACACAGCCCGGCTTTATAAATGCGCTTTTGGATATTTTGCAAGGGGAACAAAATAATGCCGTCCAACTGTCGGGTACGTTTTTGTCAGCCGGATTTTTTCCCCTCCCCTTCGCCCTTGCTTCATATGATCTATGAAGTACAATCTAACACAAAAATGGTTTTCTGTAGCCGGTGTTTACCTGAAGAACCGAATTACTCGTGGCTGGTCTTCCGTCGAAGAAAACCCACAGCGCACACCGATTCCAGAGGGGGAGAAACCGGGCTTCCGTGAAAGGTTGATCCCGGCCTTGGTATCAACGCCCCCGAACGTTCGCGCACAGCTTGTCCCACTTCTCCAAAAGATCCTCCAGCATGACTTCCCCGAGCAGTGGCCGGGTTTCTTGGATATCACCCTCCAGTTGTTAGGCACCAACGATGCAAGCTCGGTCTATGCTGGCCTGCAGTGTCTGCTGGCCATCTGCCGTGTGTATAGATTCAAGGCTGGTGAGAAGAGGGAGGAGTTTGATAAGATTGTCGAGCATACGTTCCCTCAGCTACTTAACATCGGCTTGAAGCTTGTCGATGAAGAAAGTTTGGAGGCTGCTGAAATGCTCCGAATTGTCGTCAAGTCCTACAAACATGCCATCTATGTGGGTGAACCAGACTTCGAAAACGAAAATATGAACATTGGATCGGAGCTGACTGAGGATGTATAGTTCGAGCTCTCGCCGTTCCTGCAAACACACCAAGCGACTGTCGACTGGTGCACACTGTTCCTCAGAGTTATCGCCAAGGATCCTCCTGCAAACTCCATGTTGGAATCTAAGGAAGAGAGGGAGCTCAACCACTGGTGGAAATGTAAGAAGTGGTCCTACGCTAACTTGAACCGTCTCTTTATCAGGTGAGTATTCTGCGTCATGAGAGATTTAGCACTGCCTAACTTTCATAGATACGGAAACCCCACTACAATGACCAAGTCGAGCACGCCTGATTATACCCAGTACGCCAAGAACTTCATCGCCACTTTCGCCCCGGAAATTCTGAAGGGATATCTGCAGGAAATCGATAAGTGGGTTTCCAAGGGCCAGTGGCTTAGCAACCCTGCCCTCGCCTACACTTTGGTCTATATGGAAGAATGTGTCAAGCCGAAGGCGATGTGGGACCACCTCAAGCCACACATGGACAACTTGATCGCTCATTTTATCTTCCCCATCCTTTGCCAATCCGACGAAGACATCGAATTGTTCCAGACCGACCCCTCCGAGTATCTCCACCGTAAGCTAAACTACTACGAGGAGGTGTCCGCGCCTGATGTTGCAGCAACGAACTTCCTTGTTGCTCTCACGAAGAACCGCAAGAAACAGACATTTTCGATCCTTACGTTCGTCAACGGCGTCGTCAGCAAGTACGAGGCTGCTCCGGATGACCAGAAGCTTCCCAGGGAGAAAGAAGGCGCTCTGCGGATGATTGGTTCGTTGGCTTCAGTGATCCTTGGCAAGAAGAGCCCTATTGCGGATCAGGTTGAATACTTCTTTGTCCGTCACGTCTTCCCTGAATTCCGCAGTCCCCACGGTTTCCTCAGAGCTCGCGCATGCGACACTTTGGAGAAGTTTGAACAGCTCGACTTCCAGGATCCCAACAACCTTATGATCATCTATCGCAATATCCTTGAATCGATGACTGATCCTGAACTTCCTGTAAGGGTTGAAGCGGCCCTTGCTTTGCAACCCCTCATCCGCCACGATATTATCCGCACTTCGATGCAGCAGAACATTCCTCAGATCATGCAGCAGCTTCTCAAACTCGCCAATGAGGTCGATGTGGATGCCTTGGCCAATGTTATGGAAGATTTCGTTGAAGTGTTCTCTGCTGAGCTCACTCCATTCGCTGTGGCGTTGAGTGAGCAGCTCCGTGACACATACATGCGTATTGTTGGTGAACTTTTGGAAAGAAATGCCGCGAAGGGCGATGATGAATATGGCGACTTCTTGGATGATAAAAGTATCACTGCCCTGGGTGTCTTACAAACTATTGGAACCCTCATTCTCACTCTGGAGAGCACCCCTGATGTCTTACTGCACCTTGAAACTATCCTCATGCCTGTGATCAGCATCACACTTGAGAATAAGCTATACGACCTCTACAACGAAATCTTTGAGATTATCGACAGTTGCACCTTCGCATCTAAGTCCATCTCGCCCACTATGTGGCAAGCATTCGAGCTTATTCACAAGACCTTCAAAGCGGGTGCGGAATTGTACCTAGAGGACATGCTGCCCGCACTTGACAATTATGTCGCATATGGCTCTCAGATGATGGTTCAGAACCCAGCATACCTGGCGGCTGTTGTTAGTATGGTCGAAGACATCTTCCGCGATGAGAAGGTTGGCGGTGTGGACCGGATCTGCGGTTGCAAGCTAGCAGAGACTGTGATGTTGAACCTGCGTGGCGGCATTGACCAATACATTCCTCTATTCATTGAGTTGCCTATGCGCGTGCTCGACGCTGAAGAGGCAAAGACTAAGTCCTACCGCATCCATCTCATCGAGATGGTGATTAACGCTATCTACTATAACCCTCTTCTCAGTCTTCAAGTTCTGGAGGCTAAGGGCTGGACGAACAAGTTCTTCAGCGCCTGGTTCTCCAACATCGACAACTTCCGCAGAGTTCATGACAAGAAGCTCTCCATTGCAGCAATTACCTCGCTTCTGACATTGAACGCTGGTGATGTTCCCGCGAGCGTGCAGCAAGGCTGGCCTAGGTTGCTTCAGGGAGTGACCAGACTTTTCCAGACACTACCTGCTGCGCTTAAGAGTATGTTGCTTCCCCTACCTCGTTGAGATATCAAACTTACCCTATACAGGCCGCGAAGATGCAACTAAAGAGTCAGACTTTGCCTTCGACGACGAGGATGACGAAGGTGATGAGGACAACGACTGGGATGGAGAGATTGAGTGGACCGACCAAGATGAGACTGAGGGTGGCCCTGAGGGCGATGTTCAAGATGAGAGTGCCGCATACCTTGATTTCTTGAATAAAGAGGTGAGCTATCTCATGCGCTAACGCGGTTGAATCTCATTGACTGACTGGATACTTAGGCCCAGAAGTTCGGCTCCTTTGCGGATGATGATGAGGATGATTTGGACGAAGAAAGCCTACTCGAGACGCCATTGGATAAGGTCGAGCCGTATGGCCTGTTCAAGCACGTCTTCCTGGGTATGTATCATCCATATTCCAGGCTTCGAAACGCCTTTAGCTAACTGTGTTGCAGGTCTTCAGCAGGAACAGCCGCAGCTCTATGAGAACTTGACGAAGATCTTGACTGCGGAGGAGCAGCAAGTGCTGCAGCTGTCTTCCATGAAGCCGACGCCAAGGCTTTGGCTGCTGCCAATGCGGAAGCTGCTGCGGCGGGGATCCAGACCAACGGAAATTAGAAATATAAAAGAACTAAAAGAAGCCAGCAGGTCGACGAAATGAACCAGTTGACTTCTGTTGGATGCCGATGACGATATAAAAGATGCTAATCCAGTTTTGAATGTCTGTTTTGGAGCAGCTTTCACCTTTTGAAATATCTCAGGTCGCCGGTCTAGTGGAGCGACAGGCTGGATACGCTATAACGCCTTTTTCTTTTGTTTCTTTTGTTGTTTAGATCATTTCCTTTTTCTTGACGCAATCACTACGGCTGTCTTTGGTTGTCGTTTCCTCCGAATGTCCCCAAAAGTCTTCTCTTCACTATTCCTCATTCCAATTGTACTCCACGCATTCACAAACACTGATATCCCCAATTAATTCTGTCAGTTGACCGATGCCCACATTCAGATGACCAAAATCATCCAAATTCATGCTCGGGGGATGATCCAAGACAGTCAGTCTTAAAGAAAGAAATATCAACACGAACCGGAAATCATCTCCGGACCGGATTCAATACTTTATTCGATTCTCGCATGTTACATAGATCACGTGGTATGATAAGCAAACAGAACAAACAACATGACGTATGACGCCATCGCAATCTCCATCCAGACATGAACCAGGTAAACATAGGTTGATATTGCACAACCTTCTTTGAGTTCATGGCCTGGATCTCATGTAGTACGCCTTTCACGGTGTAAAACGTTCTGCCAAATGGCGAAACTCAGGGCCATCGAGGATATTGTCCCTCGAAATCAGATACCCAACTTGCAACACCGGTGTACACTAACATTCAAACCCAGTAGAACCAGATAACCAGATACCACCAGACAGACGTCATCATGATGATACAACAATTATGGCATCATGGAGCCCAGACCCTATAGACAGGTACTTAAACACCAAATCCTCACTTCCCAGCTCGGTCCTTCCAGCCAACAATTCCCCCATTCATCTTACCGACCTAACATCCAAAATCCAGGCACAGTATGCAACCCCCTTTCCACCCCCAAATGTCCACAAAATCTAACCTTACAACCTTTCTAGAATACCTCCACATAAAACTTCCTCTCTTCTTTACAATCAAACGTTAAAAATGTCCGCCCCCAACGCCGGCCGCCAGTCCCCTCCCCCCGAGCGCCAAACTGGCGCCCAGCAACAGGACCCCGTTGCTTCAGGACACACCCAGCATGGCATCCATGGTGATTCCAAGGGAGCCTCCGAGGACACTAAGTTCCATGGACTCAGTAGTAACCCGAAACATCCTTTGGAGGATATTGAGGCGAAGAAGTTTGCGAAGGGGCCGGGGAATTAATAGACTGGTTGACCTTTCGTTTTGAATGGGGTTTATCATGTGTGATGTTGTTTACATATTTGTAATTTTCATGACTGGGTTACTTTTACAGTGAATATATTGAATAACTGTGTTAGAAAGAGCTGTTTCTTTACCTTCTTCCTTTGATTTTCTTTTCTCTATTTGGTTGTGTGTGTGCATGTCTGTTTTCAACTTTTAAATCTGGTTCCATTGAAAGGGGCATAAGGTACTCAATTTATTGTACTTCTGCCACATAAGTTTAATCTGTACTATGTCTACTTTGCTGTGCTTTGTAGGCCTTGCATGAATCGTTATTTCTGTAGATCATTGCATTGGCGTTCTGCAGCTGGGTACTAAGCGCAGTGGTATTCGAAGAAGAACTGATTAGGGTAGTAGCTATTTGACAAAAGCCTGTTCCAGACAGCCTGTTCAAAAACGCACACCAGAATACAGGAGACAACAGCAGAACAAATCAGAAAGCATCCCAGTTTAAATTCAGTACATCGTAATTCATTATGCCTTAGGTTCGGCAGGAGCCGCGGTTCCAGCGGGCTGGCTCACCGCAGGAGCAGGTTCAGCGGGGGCAGTTGGGGCAGCAGGAGCCGCAGGAGCCGCAGCTGCGGGGACGGCACCAGAGGCCTCTGCACCGCCGGCAGCCGGCACCTCACCCTCATGAGTAGTCTTACCACTCTTCAGGTCCGCCAAGCGCCTGGCCTCAGTGTGGATGTCTCGCACCTGCTTATCGGTCTGGGCGTAGAAATCGCGAAGCTTTTGACCCGAGGGTGTGCCAAGAGCTTTTTCGAAGTATGAGTGGAGACCATGCCAACCAGTGGCAGCCTTGTCACTCAGCTTGTAGCTTTCATCAATTCCTCTGGCGCGGTCCGTGGCTTTGTACTTCTGATCAAAGTTGCTCAGAGCGAGGTAAAGCGGCTGGAGAAACCGTGCTTCTGGTCGAGGGCAATAGCCTTCTGGATTGCGTTGTCGCTCAGTACATAGCCGTGAGCAAGGTACTCGGCGAAAATTCGGGACTTGGGCTTGTCTTCCTGCGCGATTTCATGGTGGTTCTCATCCCTAGCCTCTCCTGCACTGGCTGCCTGGGAACCGGCGATGTCGTCGAGAGTCTGGGCAGCCTGGACGTGCACTGCAGAACCTCCCAGCTGGGTCTGATCCAGAAGCAAGGCAGTCTTGGCAGCTCTAAAGCCATAGTCAGCGTAATTCATTCAAGGTCATTATCTTTCAAAGCTCGCATCGGTGGACTATAAGAGTCAACGATTGAGTGCGGGGTAAGACTTACGCTTCTTTCTCGAAAGTCACTGTGGCGGACTTGGGAGCATCTGGCTCACCAGAGACGGGGGTCACGGAGATGGAGGTAATCTTGCCACTATAGAATGGTCAGCCCCGTCGAAGGCCTGGAGACATAAGGAGTGTGCTCTTACCAGAAGCTAAAGAAGTCCTGGACTTCCTTCTCGGAAGTGTTGGACGCGATGCCCGAGACATGGACTGTGCTGCGCTCAGACATGGTGATGATGAAATGTGGTTTTAGGTGGAAGATATATCAGGATCGGTATATCAAGAGGGGTACAATTGAAATAATCGAGAGGTATGAAATAATTGCCCAGGGGAGAGCAATTCAGGAGTATTTATTTTGGCGCAGCAGTCGAGCCACAGATGACGTGTGGGAGAGGGGCACGTTGCACAGCCACAGTGGGGAGTCGTCATCAACATGTGACGGCGAGTAACTATGATGTGGATGGCTGGTGCTAGAAGGCAGAAGTATTTTCCGGGAAAAAGAAAAAAAAGACCAAAAAAGTAGTATGGCTATTTTTGAATAGCGGTCGGCGGGTAATAGCAAATTGAGTAGAAGGAAAGGTGCGAGTGAAAGCGAGTAGACTAAGCACTTATCGAAAACCATTACCTGTTCCTGGATCCATCTAGGACCTCCTCCCTATCTAAATAGATAATCACCCAACAAAGGTCTCTTCACTGCCTCAATTGGTGCCATCCCCTGTTTTTACAGAGGTTTTATCCAATGCATCTGTAATAGCCGTAATGGATCCGGGTATTACTTGAGCTGTCGCATCCGGCTCCCGTTCACGATGTTTTCGAAGAACGAGCTCGAGATCTCGAACACGCCGCCGGAGTCCTTCATTTTCCCGTTTGAGTATCTCCAATTCCCCTCGTTGCCGTGCTATCTCATCCGGGCGGGATATGGAAGTAGTTCGGGACCGTTGCTGAGAGAGCGAGTTACGATGGGGGTACGGGTACGGTCCGGACACATAATTCGAGAATTGGTCACTTTGTGACTGCTGTGCTGATGCAGGAGACAGTGGCAGCGTTCCTTCTGACTGTCGTGAAGAGGTAAACGATGGCTCTCGACTCCGACCCGGACGGGCAGACGACAAAGGAACATCTCGCGATGGAGTGATCGCAGCACCGCTTCCTGCTCTTGAGCCCTGGACGGCTGGGATGTATGAGGAGCTCAAGCTTGACGAGGAACGGTGGCGTCGTGATGCAGTGGGATGCGTTGAGGAAGCTAAGTAGGAGGAAGCCTGCAGGGTATCTGACGGGTCGTTGAGGGTGGTAGATGTTGAGGAAGTTGTCGATGCTACCGAGGCTGTTTGTTGTCGTAGGAGGGACAGCTCTCTTGATAGACGATTAACCTTTGAGCTCAAATCAGTACAGATATGCGACTTTATGGGCTGCGAAAAATAAATACCATTGCCTCTTGTTCTTGTTCAAGCATGGAGTGGATGTCGGACGGCGTAAGAGGCTTTGGATGTCTCAGTGGACCTTGATGTAGTTCAGCTGGAGTGTTCCAATCTAAAGAGAAAAAGGGCAGCTTACCGGACGCCGATCTTACGCTGCCATGATCATTGCCTCCAGGCCCAGAACTCCCTGTATATACAACCGGCGCAAGCGGTAGAGCAGGAGGACTCATTACTTGCGACGGACGTCGAGAAGAGATGGCCGACGGTGTAGTGACTGGTTGCATCGCCGTTGCAGCTCGAGGCCGTGATCTTGGAGTAGAAATGGACACGGAGGCCAAGTCTGGTGCCATTTTTCAAAGGATTGTGATGGATCACGAAATTGGGAGGGATAGAAAGAGGACAAGAAAGTTGAACGATGAATTCATTCAGGTAGAAGCGAAGGGGGTAGATATTACCCTTTCAAAAAGAAAAGAGCAAATAGACTGACTATATATGAAAGTTGACGACCAGAGAAATCCCCTCCCCCCTTGATTGGGATTCCAAAGGGTCAAAGCATACCAAACCCCAGGACCACTCTTAGGACTACAGAAGAAAAAATTCCCAGCCAAATACCTTAGTAACAGTGTACATGCATGAGACATATCAACAATGCAACGTCGAGCTCTGGCAATGTTTTCCGCCTGTCTGATGATGGAAGAAGCGCCAGTTCTCGATTCTTGGTCGGGTAAGAGTTAGTAGTCTTTCTATAATTCTCCTCCGGAACCGAAGCTTTACTTAATCACTCATTGGCACGAAACAATGAAACGACAAGGGTTAAGGATCCTTGAAACCGTAGCCCGAAGATCCGAACCATAGTACAATTATTGATTTTGGTTGGTTGCCAAAATCCACTAACCTTTGTTTACAGTCAATTATCTCCATAGAAGAGGGGTACGGTGGTACCGGGGTCTATTTTCGTGAGGATGACCTTACTGCTAATATTAGACAACCCCAGTGGGTGATTCTCAAAGTCGTTGATGTATATATTTTTTGTCTGCCTTTTCCTTTCTCGAGCATATTGAAACCAACCGCACATCTGCGAGGCGAGAAGGCTTCTTAATTTAGAACAATTCGCCTCACACCGTATCGCTCCACAACCCCATATAATTCGATAAATCTATACGACGTAAGTACGAATGTGTACGGTCATTCTGTATGCAGCAAACACCCCAAACCTTGGCCATCAATCACGTGAATCTCTGAATCGTGGGCATTGGCTTACCTAATATCGAGGGGGATCCATCAAACAAACAAGAGAAACAAACAACTTGAATCCGGGGTACTAGATATCATATCAGAGGACTGTCAACAGGAATTGATTTCCACCTCGACGTTTCAGATTTGGCGCTGGACCTCCACCGCCCATACCGACTCCCGTCCATGGCCCATCCTAATGACGACTCCGCTATCCCTGCGCACATTCCTGCCTTCGCAAAACCGCTTGCTCCTTACATCAAAAGTCGCCAGGAAGCCCTACGCATCCGACAAGTCCTAACCTCCTACCTCCGGTCACAAATTACGTTTGCCGATGATAACCCCGATCATCCAAATATTCATGCCCGATCTCATCTCTCGTTATGCGTACCTCAAGATGCTGTTGTCGATGTCAAGCGTATCCCGTCAGAATTGACGGGATTAAGAAAGGAATACCTCCAAGCATTACAGGCAAATGTGAATGCAAGGAAGGAGTACCGTTCGGTGTCTGAGAGGTATACTTCCAGAATGCCCCAGAGTCAACCTAATGGTGGCGTCGACACACATCCCGTTGATCCCAACTCAGAACTCCAAGCCTATCTTGAACTGCTCCGCAACCGTCGCCAACATGCGAAGCTCCAAGTTTTTCAGCATTATCTGGAAGAGCTTAAAAAACGAGATATAATGAAACCGGAGGACTTCGATAGTGTAGGATGTCGCAGCCAACAGCCTGCCCTGCCGCCAGATTTGGAAGAAGGTCAAAATGGATGCACCCCCGAGGATGGAATCGAAGGCTTGATGCATAATCTTGAAAGGGCCGTGGTACGCGCGAGGAACCAGCTAGAGAGAGAAAAGAGACTACTTGAAGAGCTGAAGGCGCAGCACGAGACCGAGGTTGGTTCTGACAACGATGGTATTGCCTCTGGCGCGAAGGCCACTGCACTACAGCGAACCCGAGATGTCTTGGTACAATGGGTCGAGGAAAAGCTGGTGAGTGTTGGGAATAATGATGATGATCTTGTGCAGGAATTGCCTCCCGAGGAAATCGAGAAGTCGGCTCGTTTGCTGGAAGACCAGAAAGCACAGATCGCAGAACAGTATGCCGCCTACGTTGATGCTCGCAAGCGTCTTCTTGATGCAGCCTCTAGGGCGTGCCAACCCATCGGTACCAGCTCTGTGAAACCTGAAAGTCGCCCTACAGAGAAACGAAAATCTACTTCCGAGGAAACGCCCACCTTAGAGCCAGTGGATGTCCTATCTTTCGCCGATGAACAACTCCTCCCACTTTCAAAATGCCAACGGGCACTAGCTCTACAGAAATTCCAGCTGACTGGAATTCTCGCAAAAGAAAAATCCACGACTCTGCGCATCCTGAATCGGCTGAGTGATGAAAGTCGCCTTCTTCCGGAATACCCTATGCCAGCTCGACAACCACGATTTAAACATGCGGCTGCGGCTATAAACGCCCGTCATGCCGGTACGCCAGTGGAGCCAGTTAAACCAGATGAGGTTATTGCACTAGCTGAAGCATGGGCCTTTGCATCGGAAGCGGCAGGGACGAGTGAGCGGGAAAATGTGGAACGCAGCCTGGAAGAAGGTATCGAAACCGCCCAAGAAGCAGAGCAGGTGTTGCAAGAAGTCTATGATATAGTGAACCAGGATCTAGAGGAGGCGTTACGGAACAAGGTGGATGAAGATGAGGTAGAGTCACCCAGGTCGCGCGCGAGACCGAGGGCTAAAGGACCATGGATTAAGCTTGATGGACAAATAGGAGTTACGGACTGATAGAGCCATTAGATGGAACAACCTAAGCTAGTCACAACCCTGAACTAAGATAGTACATCTTATCTTGTCAAAGAAATCATGATTCGATGGGAAATAATCGTAGGGGTGGACTTCTGGCAATGTATGCCAACATTGGTTCCAAGAGATAACGTGGGGACTCCGAATGCCGGTGTTCCCGTGCTTAGCTGCCATTAGCGCGGTAGCGAGCGCCCTGTACGGAGTAGCGGAGACACCAATTCAACTGATAGAATCCTGCAAAGAGGGCTGATCTGCAATTTAGTCAAAAAATTTTTCTGTGCGAGGATTGACAGCCATTGGCCATGGTTTTCAGAGCCATTGAGGGGAGGATTTGGCTGGTCAACCAAGCCATTGATGGTAAGGGTCAATTGCAATGGGTCATGATAAATTATAATCTCCAATATCTCAGACGGCATTATGAGTTATCATTATTCAAGATCCAGCGTCCCCATACCCGGTTCTCCATAGTAGGCCATTGACTCATACAACTAGGCGGAAAGGAGTTAGCGCCGTCAGGAACTAGAGTGTCTAGTGTCCTTTGCAGCTCTGGTCTTTATGATCTCCTGCACTTACCGCAGCCCTAGGATGGACCGCTGATTGGTGGCAGTATCAGGCGGTGGCTCTTCCGCATCCCGATGGGGAAAAGAGACAGAGAAAAAAGACAAAAAAGCTGCTGGCTCCGCACACCGGAGCTCTTATCGGCCTGGAGGTTGGGGCATTTTCGCGTTTTCGGGGGTTCCATGTCGTCTATCCTGGTTTCTTGGTGTCTCCAGAAGTGCTCACTGGACTGCATTGACTCATCGCCCAACCAAGACCTTTTTAACCTTTCTTTTCCGCCTTCCATCTTTTCTTTTAACTTCTTCCCTCTGACTACTCTATTTTCTCCCCCAACTCCCTGGCCATTCATCCCGTTCTGTCTTTAGTCCTCCCCTGTTGACTGGGTGTGTGGCATAAAGTGGGACAACAGGGTGCCAAAAGGCAGACTCATATAGACCAACGGCAGTAGAGTCCATACGTCGTCTTGGATATTTCCGGGAATTGACTCTTAGATTCCCCTTTCCCTTCCCATACTAGCGCCGTGCGCAATGGTTCTCTCTACTCGTTGCGGGCAGGCCACGGCCTCCCTCCTGCGTCAGCGCTGTCTGGCTGAATCTCGCCGATCCACACTTGCTCTGCGCCCATTTTCCTCCCAGACTACTGCCCATTCGGCGGCATCAAGTCTCCGGTTGCAGCAGAAGACTCCTTCGCCATGGAGACCACAGCAACTTCGCTCCTTCTCGAGTGCTATCACCCGCCTGGCCTCGGAGTCGACAAATGCTCCCTCCGCTGAAAGCTACCTTGCCAGCGGCATCGTAAAGCCAGGTCGCAATCTGGTCGATGTGAAGAAGGTCCTTGTGATTGGTAGCGGTGGTCTGAGTATCGGACAGGCTGGAGAGTTTGATTATTCCGGTAAGTCATAGAGTCTAGTACATATATATTATCCGAAACGGCCTCGACTGTTGTCTATTCATTGCACCAATTGAATGATCTCTGCATTCGTGCGAGTAACTATTAAACCATGGCACGGTTGGAATGTTATACCTTAATACCGGCAACTAACGTTGGTTTTCGAACATTATAGGCTCCCAGGCTCTGAAGGCTCTTAAGGAAGCTGGAGTGCAGTCCGTTTTGATCAATCCTAACATCGCAACGATCCAAACCGATCACAAGCTCGCAGATGAAGTTTACTACCTTCCAGTTACTCCTGAATATGTCACATACGTCATTGAGAGGGAAAGACCGGACGCTATCTTCCTTTCCTTCGGTGGACAGACCGCTCTGAACCTGGGTGTGCAGATGAACCGCATGGGTATCTTCGAACGCTATGGTGTGAGGGTTCTGGGAACGAGCATCAAGACCCTGGAGACTAGTGAGGACCGTGATCTTTTCGCCAAGGCACTGAACGAGATCAACATTCCCATTGCCGAGTCCATCGCTGTCAACACTGTTGATGAGGCTTTGAAGGCTGCCGAGGAAGTTGGCTACCCCATCATCGTTCGTTCCGCATATGCTCTTGGTGGTTTGGGTTCTGGATTTGCCAACAACCCCGAGGAGTTGAGGAACCTGGCATCCCGCTCTTTGACCCTTGCTCCTCAGATTTTGGTCGAGAAGTCCCTCCGAGGCTGGAAGGAGGTCGAATATGAAGTTGTGCGTGATGCTGACAACAACTGTATCACTGTTTGCAACATGGAGAACTTCGACCCCCTGGGTATCCATACTGGTGACAGTATTGTCGTTGCTCCCAGTCAGACTTTGTCTGACGAGGAGTATCACATGCTTCGTACGGCTGCCATTAAGATCGTCCGCCACTTGGGTGTTGTTGGTGAATGTAACGTGCAGTATGCCTTGCAACCTGATGGCTTGGACTACCGTGTGATCGAGGTCAACGCTCGTCTCTCGCGTTCTTCCGCCTTGGCATCTAAGGCTACCGGTTACCCTCTTGCCTACACCGCTGCGAAGATCGGTCTGGGCCATACTCTGCCCGAGCTTCCCAACGCTGTGACGAAGACCACTACCGCGAACTTCGAGCCTAGTTTGGACTACATTGTTACCAAGATCCCCCGGTGGGACTTGAGCAAGTTCCAGCATGTCAACCGGGATATTGGAAGCGCTATGAAGTCGGTTGGTGAGGTCATGGCCATTGGTCGTACTTTCGAAGAATCTTTCCAGAAGGCTATCCGTCAGGTTGACCCTCAGTACCTTGGTTTCCAGGGTGACAAGTTCGAGAACTTGGACGATGTCTTGAAGAACCCTACCGATCGCCGTTGGTTGGCTGTCGGCCAGGCTATGCTCCACGAGAACTACTCGGTGGATAAGGTTCATGAACTGACCAAGATTGACAAGTGGTTCCTCTACAAGCTTCAGAACCTCGTTGACTGCCAGAATGAGATTAAGGAAATTGGCAGCCTCTTCGGCATCCAGAAGGAGACCATGCTCAAGGCGAAGAAGCTTGGTTTCTCTGACAAGCAGATCTCCCTCCTTGTCGGAGCGTCCGAGGACGATGTCCGTGCTCGCAGAAAGAGCTTCGGTATCACCCCATGGGTTAAGAAGATCGATACTCTTGCTGCTGAGTTCCCCGCAGACACTAACTACCTATACACTACCTATAACGCTACTTCCCATGATGTCACTTTCGATGACCATGGTATTATCATCTTGGGAAGCGGTGTCTACCGTATTGGAAGCTCTGTCGAGTTCGACTGGTGTGCAGTTAACGCCACCCTTTCTCTCAGGAACATGGGCAAGAAGACCGTTATGATCAACTACAACCCGGAGACCTACTCTACCGATTTCGACACTGCTGACAAGCTCTACTTCGAAGAACTCAGCTACGAGCGTGTCATGGATATCTACGAACTTGAGACTGCCAGTGGTGTCGTTGTGTCTGTCGGTGGCCAACTGCCACAGAACATTGCCCTTCGCCTGCAGGAGACCGGTGGCGCCCACGTTCTTGGTACTAACCCTGTTGATATTGACAAGGCTGAGGATCGTCACAAGTTCTCTTCGATCCTGGATAGCATTGGTGTCGACCAGCCTGCCTGGAAGGAACTCACCTCGGTTGCTGATGCAGAGCGTTTCGCCGAGTCTGTTGGCTATCCTGTCCTGGTCCGCCCCAGTTATGTCCTATCTGGTGCTGCCATGAACGTCATCTATAGCCAGGATGAGCTCAAGGAGAAGCTTCTTAATGCTAGCGCTGTTTCCCCTGACCACCCTGTCGTTATCACCAAGTTCATTGAAGGCGCCCAGGAAATTGATGTCGATGCTGTTGCTTCTAATGGTAAGCTCCTGTTGCATGCCGTCAGTGAGCACGTTGAGCCAGCTGGTGTTCACTCTGGTGATGCCACTCTTGTTCTTCCCCCAGCTTATCTCGATGAGTCGGTCATGGGCCGCGTCAAGGAGATAGCCGAGAAGGTTGCTAAGGCCTGGAACATCACTGGTCCTTTCAACATGCAGATTATCAAGGCCGACCAGGAAGGTGCCCAGCCTGAGCTGAAGGTCATTGAGTGCAACCTGCGTGCTTCCCGTTCCTTCCCCTTCGTCAGCAAGGTTCTGGGCACCAACTTCATCGATACTGCCACCAAGGCCCTTGTTGGCCGTGACGTTCCCGAGCCTGTAGACCCCATGGCCGAGAAGCGTGACTACGTCGCTACCAAGGTCCCTCAGTTCAGCTGGACTCGTCTTGCTGGTGCTGACCCCTTCCTTGGCGTCGAGATGTCCAGTACTGGTGAGATTGCTTGTTTCGGTAAGGACTTGGTTGACGCCTACTGGGCATCCCTCCAGTCCACCATGAACTTCCGTGTCCCCGAGCCCGGTGAGGGTATCCTTCTTGGTGGTGACATCAAGAACCCCGCTTTGGCCAAGATTGTTGAATATCTTCAGCCATTGGGCTACAATTTCTTTGCCGCTAGCCCCTCTGTTAAGGATCACATCGAATCCACTGCCAAGGAAAGTGTTTCCGTGCAGGTGATCGAGTTCCCTAAGAAAGACAAGCGTGCACTGCGCGAGGTCTTCGAGAAGTATAACATCCGTGGTACCTTTAACCTTGCTAAGACCCGTGGCAAGACCCTGCTTGATGAGGACTACGTCATGCGACGTAACGCCGTTGACTTCGGCGTTCCTCTGTTCATGGAGACCAAGGTATGTCAAACACACAACGTCTCTGCCTGCTTTTCATTGATGCTAATTATGTTCCTTTGCAGACTGCTCTCCTCTTTGCCCAGGCCATGAGCGAGAAGCTGCCCCGTGCCGAGGGTATTCCTTCTGAGGTCCGCAGCTGGTCTGAGTTCGCCGGCGGAAAGCTTCTGTAAATCAGCATTGCGATCTTATAACAAAAGTTTTTGTCAACTTAATAATCACCTGATGTTGTTATTTTTTTCAAGGCACGGAATAACCGTCTGGTTTGGCGTAGTGGAGAAGGCTCTACTCTACATTGATAGACTTTTTATTTGGCCTTGACAAGGCCACCTTTGACGGGAAAGGTGGCCATGCTCATGTACTTCGGTGGAACTTCTTGTTTCTCTTTGTTGTTGTTGTTACCCATTTATGATTCCTCCCAGTAGGCAGGCTTTGTGCTTGAGCGAGAAAAGCACCCGTGCGCCTCTTCTGAATTGATCGTTACGATTCACTTGTGTATAGTATTTCTGAACTATGTGATCAATACCTCTCTCCTCTGTACCGTGCCTTCTTGGTAGTCTTGTTGTATTGTCCCAATTGGGGAGTCGTTCAACGGTCCTCTAACATGAACTGACTAAGCATCGCGGGATTGCCCCAAGTTCACCTTTTAGCTGTGTCTACTATCTCAATCTGCTATGGGTCCAAAGGAGACAAGTATATATAGCAACTTAGTTGACTGTCTCCCAGACTATTGCTGAATAAGCCCAGAATATCATGTCTCTAGAAACCCTTCTCCCTTCTGTACACACTAAAGCTACACCAGGTCCAGCACCTGGTGGTTTGGGAAGAGGTCTTTTTGCTTCAAACACCATCAAAATTGGGGAGGATGTTTTGCATATTACCAGCCCTTTTGTAGCTGTGTTAGACACGCCGCGACTGAGTGACACATGTTCAGGATGCTTTGGGAACAAACCCGTCCACCATGGTGGTTCATTGAAAAACTGTACCGGATGCAAAGTGGTGAAGTATTGTGACAAGGTCTATACTCCAAGCTACACATTAATCCAACACCGGCCACTGACACACATACCAGGAATGCCAAAGGAAGGATTGGAAGTTTGCTCACGCACACGAGTGTGCAATTTTTAAGAATCTAAACCCTCGTATTTTGCCGAGCAATGCTCGGGCTCTTTTACGGATGATCGTGCGCAGTGAGCGTCAAAAGTACACCAACGAGGAACTCGAACTCTTCTCCCAACTCGAGACTCACATCTCAGAAATCCGTGACCAGAGCCCCGAGCAATGGGAGCGTATCGCCTTATCTTCAAAGGCCGTCAAGGCTTACTCCGGAACAGACATGAAGGAAGAAACGATATCCGCCTTCGGCGCCAAAGTGAGCAAGCCATCTCAGCCCCAGCTCTCACCGTACCTGTCCCCAAGCTGTTACTGACTTATCAACCAAGCTGGAATTAAACTCTTTCAACCTCACTAGCATTGTCTCTGACCGCATGGGCCTCTACCTACACCCCTACGCCGCCCTCATCAACCACAGCTGCAACTACAACGCTGCCGTCGGCTTCGACGGCGACAACCTCTACATCAAAGCCACCCGCCCCATCCAACAAGGCGAGCAAATCTTCATCTCCTACGTCGACGCCACAAACCCAGTCCGGCTCCGCCGCTCCGAACTCCGCGAGCGATACTACTTCGACTGCCAATGCGCCAAATGCGCAAAAGACCTCGTAGCGCCAGCACACAGCTTCCTGGGTCCAGAATCACAGTATGACCATTCCGCCATCGAAAGCGCAGAAACAGAAATCTACGAGCTTCTGGACGAATGCTCCTCAGCCGTGGCAACTGACCCCAAGAAAACGGCCGAGAGATTCCAATCATCCATTAAGCGCCTACGACAGATTGGCCCTTGGCCCGTTACCGAGCAGCCTCTCGTCTCGCTGAGAGATGAGTTGATTGCCTCGCTGCTGGCAGACCAGGATTTCAGCTCTGGGCTTGTTCAGGCTGCTGTGCGGTATCTGCGTGTGGATCCTGTTGTTTATGAGGATGAGCGGCATCCTGTTCGTCAGTTGCATGGGTATGTACTGGCAAGGGTGGCGGTTTTCCTGGATGATGGAGCGGATGGGGATGCTAGTTTGCTTAGGTTGGCAAATATGGAAACGGAGCCTATGCTGCTTGCTTGGTCTGTTTTGAGTCGGCTTGTGGAGCTGGAGGATGAGGCTTGTACGGTGCCGAGCTTTAAGCGGATTGTCAGGTTATTATTTAATCATGTGAATGAAAGGCTTGAGGGGGGTAAGGAACCGAAGGACAGGGGAGATGATATACGGAAGGAGTGGGAGAAGGTTGAGCTAATTGTCGATACGGTGCTTGAGAAAGAATGTTAATGTGGATCGGCTCTCTCGTGGGGAAGTTCTGTGCCTTTAGCTTGGGACCAGTTTGCTCCGGCATTAGCTTCGTAACTTAGGTGCCGGCATAAGTATTGGGTCCAAGCGCAGCTTGCATTAAATGCAGATATTGGGTGCTGGGTGGAAGTTGTATCGAATGGATATATGTCAAAATGTTGACTATATATGCCAAATGCAACCAAGACACCAGAGCTACGGCGGCCAAGACGTAACGAAAAAAAATTCATACGAGATACGAGTGATAACAATCTATGTGAAAGAAAAAGAAATCGTTAAATTAGACCCCGTTCCCTAGATAAGTAGGGAAGGGAACAGGTGGTCTTGCCTCGTCCCTTTAGGGCTAAGGACTGAAGATCTCCTCGTCATGGGAGTAGGAATCCGTGGTTCGTTCACATGCCGACAAGACCTTTATATTGAGATGCAAACAGCTGACCCGCACTTGACATACAAGTTGGATGAACCCAAATAGGCACAAATGGTATCCATCGCTTTTGATTTCTTCTCCCAACACAACCGGACGCCCAATCCTCCACGCGACACTCCAGAAAGCTTTTCTTCTTTACTTGAGGGGAATGAAACGAGAAGAGTGGGTGGCACCGATACCGGGACGACCGTGCTTGACGGGCTTGCTGTGTGGTTGTTAGACTATGATTCTTCACGCAAAAGAATATAGAACTGGGTGTAGAACGTACTAGGAGATGGAGAATTCTCCAAGGTAGTGGCCAACCATCTCGGGCTTGACTTCGATCTGGTTGAACTCCTTACCGGAGTAGATACCGACAACGGAGCCGATCATCTCGGGGACGATGATCATGTCACGGAGGTGAGTCTTAACGAGGTCGGGCTTCTCGTTGGGCTTAGCCTCCTGCTTGGCCTTACGGAGCTTCTTGATGAGGCCCATGGGCTTGCGCTTCAGGCCACGGTTGAACCTACGGCGAGCGCGGGCGTGAACGACATCGCGGAGCTGTTCGGAAGAGAGGTCGAGGAGCCTGTGATACGTCCATGTCAGAAACGGCGCCTTTGCAAACATTTCCATCCGTTACACCCGACTCCCACGAGGATAAACAATCGTATCTTAGATGCCATCGGTCATATCGCTCATTCGGAGTCGGGAGTAGGTGGTACCGGGGTTTCTTCAAGTTGTCACGTACTGGTCGAGGTCAATACCGCGGTAGGAAAACTTGCGGAAGGTTCTCTTGGCCTTGATAGCTGTAAACCGATAACCAGTCAGCGCCTTGTTCGATGGATTCCTCGGTGATTTCCCGTTGCATCGCGTTTGCCGGATTCATTTTCGCCCCCCTTCGCTCCAAAGCTCATCCATTTATATCCAAACATCCGTACGCCCCATCGTAAACGAATTCCACAAAACGGTTTGCATTTCTCTATCGGGTAGCAGGGAAGGGAAAGGGTTCTCTCGTCAACGTACCGGCAGCCTCCTCAGCGTTCTAATACAAATACACGTTAGTATAAAAGTCTTTCAAGTAAGATTACTCATGCCAGACGGATATGCACTCACGTATTCGGTGTCAGCCATTTTTGCGGGTGTTCCTCTCAAGGTCGCTTTTCGAACAGCACTCGAAAGCGAAGGGACAGTGGGTTGTCGTGGCGTGTCGCTGATAAACGTTCGTCGGGCCAACTCTTGTGCTCGACGCTGCGGTTGGGAGGTGGGCTGAGATTCGTCTAAGCGACGGCTAGGGTTGTAAACCTAGAAACTAGACCCGTTGTGGATTCCTGGCTATAGGGTTATATGCCGCTAGCCCTATATTATACTTCCCGATCGGGAAATTTAAATGGACGTTGGAGATTATGGCCGTTATCATTGGCTGTTCAATCATATGTTTTATCGCTCTGATTAACCGGGGCTTACAAGTGGCTAGGTTTCCTTATGTATTTAATGCGCGTAATACAATTTCGCGCCCCATAATTGATACCTGATAGACAGCTAGTCGGCTTACGCGCATCTACGTGATATGGAATAATTCGTGGAGGTCAGATAATCTGTATTGGCTATCAAGGAGCTTTTCAGCTCACGTATGCATAATTCGTAACTGCATCAGAGAAGCCTGAGACAAACAGACTTGACCGAAATGGGCCATTTCCCTCCCAATACTGCGAATGACTGCCAGATTTCTGGTCCCCCACGAGATATCACATATTCTTCGATGCTCGCACGAGTGAAGACGCTTAGTCGAAGAGACCGAAGCCCATGTCCTCATCGGACTCCTCCTTCTCTTCCTCCTTCTCCTCAGCGGCAGGGGCGTCACCGCCGGCAGCGGCACCGCCAGCAGCGGGGGCAGCACCACCAGCACCACCGGTGGGAACGGTAGCGAGCTTCTCGGCACCCTCAGAGATCAGCTGTAGTGAGTAGATGGTCAGTAAGCGCCCTGTAGATCTCTATCACCCAACGTATTACGAACCTGCTGGAGGTCCTTGCCCTCGAGCTCGGAGATGAGCTTCTGGAGGCGCTCCTCATCGGCGTCAATGCCGACGGAAGAGAGAACGCTCTTGATGTCCTCAGCGGAGGGGGTGGCGTTGCCAGCCAGGGCAATGAGGAGGTAAGCGGCAAGGTGCTTCATTTTGAATCTGTACAAGAATCACTTTGTCAGAAAATGAACTTTCGCCGGGTACAACAAGATCATCGAGAGCGCAGCGCGATGCTGTAGGTTATAAAACATACAGATTTGTCTAATATGTGAACAAGAGAATCAATCGATTTAACCGCAAGTTGGGCGGAGACTGAAACGTCGAGTTCGCTGAGGGTTAGCGATGTGGATGGAGGAAAGTCGAAGATTCGGATCGCCAAAAACGCAAGAAAAGTGCGTTGCGGCTGGTGGTTGTGGCTGGTGGCCCAGGCTCCCTCTAAGCGAGCCTGTGGCGCATGCATGCTTGGAGGGTAGCATTCTTACTAAGGGAACCCTTCCGGATGACTTGGTCAGGCACGTGATCAGTCGCTTCTAGAAGACAGGATGGCGACTCGCTGTAACTTATTTAAACCGCCGGCGCTCTCGTCCTAACGACATCGTCAGTCTATTCTCTGTGTATCTCAGGGCTTCGGCGTCGTCTTTGATTCAACCCAGCTTCTTTGGTTGAGCTAGGGTGAGAAGACGGCTGTTCTCGAAGTCTCGAGCTTTAAAACTTCAGGTTCTGCCACAGAAGAAGTCATGAAGTTAATCCGTCACACTAACCACCGACGGTGAATCTGCCCGCATCACTTCTTCTCTGCTACCGAGACCTGCGCATTTATATCTGCCTTAGGCGCCAAGATGAGTGTAGGAGTGCCTGATCCCGTTATTCTGGTGATGTTTCGCTGATTTATGAGGCAGTTCCTCGATTCCGTTCTTTCATCTATCGAGACGGGCAAACCGTCTCCCCTACCGCCAGTCTCTACCACACAATCAGCGCCCGTCTCCTCGTCAACTGCCAAGTCAGAGGCTCGCAGGCCCATCACGACCCCTCGCGATGCCGCCGAGCGGACAAGTAATGCTGCAGGTACGAAACGCAAGGCCGAGGAGCTGCTGCAACGTCCTCAGAAGCCTCTTACCCAGGTATCTAGCAAACCACCACCTTCTAGACCAATGGCTGCGGCTGTAACTCCTAAGCCCCGTTCTACCACTACATCAGCTGCGAGGCCCGCCGTAAAGAGCAGTATATCAACGTCATCGGCATCACAAAAAGCAGCTCCGGTGTCTTCAAAGCCTCCCCCGAAGGGATCGTTTGCGGAGATAATGGCAAAAGCAAAGGAACTGCAGCAGAAAGCCCCAACGCAAGCGGGCATGTTCAAGCATCAGGCTGTACCTAAAGAGAAGCTTAGCAAGATGGAACGCAAGAAACGAGCCATGGAAGCACAAGCGAAGGAAAAAGATGCACGATCGGCAAGAAAACTCGGCACTACGTCTGGTCCAGCAGCAGGTAGCAAAGCCAGTGATGGAAAGCCTGCTAGGAAGCGGGAGCCTGAAGCGCTGTCGTACAAGGGTACTGCAAGGCCAACACCATCTGCGGCACCGGAATACAGAGGTACGGCTGGCTTACCTGCTCGAAGCAATCCAAGCGACCGGAAAGCACAGTCTCGAGCGAGCAAACGATCTAGGATGGACGAATATCTTGGAACAGACGAAGAAGACGAGGGAGATTACACAGAGGACTACGACGACTACTACTCCGATGCATCATCGGATATGGAAGGCGGATTTAATGATGTGGAGGAGGAAGAAGCAGCCGCATTGGCAGTTGCAAGGAAAGAAGATGAAGAAGAATGGCGCGCGGAACTTGCAGCCAAGCAAGCGAAGCTGGAGCGCCAGAGGAAGCTCTCTACATTGGCATCCCGACGACGCTGAGGCTATAACGCAGTCTTTTCCCTTCATTTCGCTTTTTCTTTGTCAGTAATTTTTATTCAACTTCTTCGGCACATTTTTCTTTTGGCTTGGAACGGAGCATCAGCGAGAAATACCCGAGGGTGCATTACATATGACATCTCTTCTTTTCCCCCTTATTTCCTAGTTTCTCTTCTCTCTCAGGGCAACTTCTGTTTATGATATGTTTTCTGTGCATTAGCGAGCGTCATGGTGTTGATAGATAGGGTGGCAACGCTGCTCTTCTTAGTGTTATCTTGTTTTTCCCTTCCATAACCCTATCCGGTGTTTTGCGTCCTGTTTACTAGGTGGAGAGAGGCGTCATTCTTACATGTTATGCTTATTTGAATTTGTATGAGAATTGGAATCCATGGACAGGATTCTTATCTCCGGATCAGCCCCACTTTAGTAGGCGGTGACATCACAGGCCATAGTCCTCTTAGTGCTTGCTGCTTCTCTTTGCACCTCCCCTCTTGCTCTCTTACACTTCTCTCCTCTATGATCAACATCCTCTTTGTTGCTCCATGTGTTGACTCTTCTCAATTGAATAGCAAGCTTCTGTAATATAATCTATCATGGATGTTCATCATATAACTACTTCGCCAAAGATTCTCTTCAGCAAGGTACGCAAGATTGTGCCGCCTATGCTGGAGAAATTCCACAAAGGTTAGTCTTCCTTAGTCCACAGTTGGCGATCCATGTTATCGTACCATAGCATAAGAACTCTGCATTAATAGTAAGCGCAGGCCAGCATGGACGGGTTGCCGTTATTGGAGGATCACTAGAGTATGCCCACTCCTCCAGCGCGAGTACGTACAAGTCGTATTGACCCAGGTCAAGTTACACAGGAGCTCCATATTTCTCTTCCATGGCTTCGGCACGACTAGGTATGTGACTGAAGTAATGACCATGAGGGTGATTACATTGACTAAGCTTTGTAGGCTGCGATATGGTAGGCCGCCTGAACCTATCTCACCATTCATGCGATGGTTCCTGACAAAGAGCAGAGTCATGTTATTTGTGAACGATCTGCAGCTACTGTAAGCTTATGCTGTGCCATTTCAATTGGCTTATGCGTTGAATACCTTGACTCACCAGTCTATGCAGGTTATCAAGTCTTATTCCCCGAACCTAATGGTTCATCCTTTACTACCAAGTAGCGAGTCTGTAAAGGACCCCAGTTCGATTGATGCGCTTAAGCTTGCTAGCCCCATCGTGGCAATGCTATCTCGCCTCCATGCCCTAGTAGTGGGACCGGGATTGGGCCGTGACGGGGTTACGCTGAAAGTGGTCACAGAGGTCTTGAAGGAGGCGCGGTCCCGCTCAATACCGTTTGTCTTAGATGCCGACGGACTGCTGCTTGTCACAGAGCAACCGGATCTTGTTAAAGGATACAAGGAATGCATATTGACGCCTAACGTTAACGAGTTCAGCCGGTTGGCCAAGGCGTTGAATATCGAGGTTCCCAGCATGGCGCAGATCGAGTCAGATAGCGGTGACAAGACCAGCGAGAAACCGAAGCCTGTGAGAAGTTGTCGCAAGCTCTTGGTGGTGTGACGATAATCCAGAAGGGACCGCACGATGTGATCTCAAACGGTGTAACGAGCATCATCAACGATGTCGTCGGAGGATTGAAGCGCAGTGGAGGCCAGGGAGACACGCTCACTGGATCGTTGGGCACGCTCCTGGCCTGGCGAGCGGCTTATCATAACGGACTTTGGGATTCCGGTGAAGAAGATAACCAAAAGGAGGCGCAAAGTAAGCAGGACATTCAGGCGGAGCTTGAGTCATCGGACAAGAGAATGTCCCCTGCCACAACCTTGCTGCTTGCAGCCTGGGCAGGCAGTGGGATTACAAGAGAGTGCTCTCGCCGCGCTTTTGAGGCGAAGGGCAGGAGCATGCAGGCCAGTGACCTCACTGATGAGGTTCATGAGAGTTTTCTGGAGTTGATCGGTGAGCCGGAACAATCGAAGATGCATCTGTAGATTTTCTTCATGTCTCGCGATAGATGATTCACGCTAGCCATTCATGTCGGTTGCCTTCTATAAACCACAAGTTTAGAGTTTAGAGTATCGTAATTTAGCTTCTTGCCTTGGTTTTGCAGTCTTCACGTAAGAACCCTCTCGCCTAGAACCACTATAGATAGTACATTCATCAACGACGGCCAATGGAGACAAGAGGCAGTCAGGTGAGCACAGCATTGAGAGCCAAACCATTGACACGATCTATCATGTACATAGAAAAGAAAGAGTCATTGACTCAGGTTCCTCGCTATGAACTCGCCACCATTCGCCATGTTCCAGGATGGCACCTCGCTGGTATACGAGAGCGGCAGCAACGAACATGCCTAGCGAACCTAACATCCCATGCGGAAATGACAGCCTCCTATATCGACCCAACCACGGTACAAGCAATGATAATAGTACGTAAAAGGGTTCTTGAGTGCTGACAACTCAAGAGCGACGTCTCAAAAAAAATTTCCCTGCCACTTGCGTCATCCATATTTTTTTTTAGAAAACAACTACATCGGAAGATGTATCCGGCAAGAATATACCGAGCCAAAGCTTGGTAGTTGCAAAGTCTAGACTCAAGATCCGAGAGTCTCTCCCCCGCAATATCGCCTCAGCGAATGCCACAATGGTTTAGCTCGACACCATGCCACTGATTCCTTTGTCGCATGCTCCAGAGCTCGTATCCGAAGACGCCAGTTTGTGGCTCCCAGCTCACCTGACAAACTCTAGATGCAAAAAGGCTACACGTTGAGAGACATGTATTGGAAAATAGTGTCTTCGTCTTCAATCCATTCCCAAGGTCGTACTTGGACGCCTAACTAGCTGCGGCTGGGTTCCAATCTCTTCATACCGAGTCATCCGCCGCGTGGTATATAAGAAGCAAAGGAAACCACCATACTCAAGCCGAAATAGAGCATCAGACAAGCAAGCAAAAGCTTCCAATCTTCAGTGAAAGCTTATACCGAAGCCCACTTCTCAACTTACACTCTATATACTCTCCTCAATTCTAGCTTTGATAACGCATACCTAACCACCGATATGCAAACCCTCTCTATTCTCACCAGCCTCCTGCTGGCCACCTCCTCCCTTGTCCTGGCCAATCCCACCAGGCCCGTCTGCGGCACCTGTAACCCTCTGTCGGGCCAAAACAACTGCGACATCACGACCTCGTGCATCAACACGGGCACCCGCTTCCATTGTGCTTGTCGCGCGGGTTACAAGGCGTCGACGAACAACAATGATATCACCAAACAGTTCCGGTTGAACATACCCAATTACCAGTTCCTGGTCTTCACTCCCGAGTCAACTTCGTGTAATACGCTCTGCGATAATCCGTTCGGAGCGGGCCCGAATCTGTGTGCTGAGGTGCCAATTCAGAATAGGTGCGAGGTGTAAGAGATTCTTGATGGTGGGTGGGAATTGGTGACTATGCAGGTAGATATTGCGGTGGTCGAGGGTGGTGAAGCCGTACCTAGTAATTCGATATTGGATGGCTGTTGTCAGAGTTGATCTACATTCCTTTGTTGACCTTAGCGCTATGGCTTCAGTTTGTCGTTCCCTAACCTGAGCTCTAATTGAGACTTTGATTCTGTTTTCCACTGGTTCAATTGGAAATCATATTGAGGTATATATTGGTCCTGGACTCCATTGAGAAACACTATGCACCATAACACCTGTGCCAAATCTAGCCTCTGGAAATATCATCAATTCGGGACAATAGACAAAAACGATAAGACGCGATTAGCCCCGATTAACTCATGGCAGGTAAACATTAGATATTCTTTTTCAATGAGAACTATGGTGGAATACCCTTCTTTACATATCCATATCCGCATCACCACCAACAAACATCAGCCGTGTGCCGTTGCCATTAATTTGCCAGATCTGGGAGAAGCACCATGTTAGCAACTGTCGAAACCAACAAGAAGGGGTTTTGTTGGAAATACTTACTCCTAGCTGGTCGTACTCGTCGATGGTCACCTTCAGTTGATCTTCAGTGAAGCCCTTAGCAAGCACACGTTCTCTGATCCTCCGCATATTGAGCTCGCCATCTTCACCCACGGCTGCCGCACCGCTCTCCCACATGGAGCGAATGAGGTGGTAAATCTTGCTGCTGGGAGTCTGGTCCGCAGTTCCTTGGCCATCATTAGACAGAGACGCCTTACTGACCTCAACGAGACGCAGTGCCTCATCCACGTCCTCCGGAACAACCTCCTCGCTAAAGCGAAGACGAGCGAGGGCCTGTGAAAGACGAACAACGCCCAGTAAAGTACGTGGGGTGACATGAGCGAACTGCTTCTTCTCGCTCTCATCGACCTTCTGTTGCTTCCTCATCCTTACATACGCACCAACCATGTAGTCCGAGACGGAGGCAGGAACGACAGGCCGGTAGGTACGTGCCTTCGCAATGTACTGGCGAACCTCACTAGGCGTAAACATGACTCCCGCATCTTCATTTTCGGGGTGCTTGTTATGCATATGGACATAAGTGACGTGGTGTGCCAGTTCTTCATCGGAGTCGCGTGAAGGCGTGTCGAGAATGAGAAACATGACATCAAAACGTGAAAGCAAGGCGGCAGGAAGGTTGATATTTTCGACTGGAGAAACACGTGGGTTATACCGTCCGTACAGCGGGTTGGCAGCTGCCAAGATAGACGTGCGAGCATTGAGAGTGGTTGTAATTCCTGCCTTCGAGATCGAAATCGTCTGTTGCTCCATTACTTCGTGGATAGCAGTTCTGTCAGAGTCATCCATCTTATCAAACTCATCAATGCAACAAATGCCATTGTCCGCCAGGACCAATGCACCTCCCTCCAGCACCATCTCATCCGTCACAGGATCTCTCATCACGGCGGCCGTGAGACCAACGCCACTGCTTCCTCGGCCAGTGGTGTACACGCCTCGAGGAGCGACCTTAGCAATATATTTCAGCAACTGAGACTTGGCAACACCAGGATCACCCATCAAGCAAATGTTGATATCACCACGAATGTGCATTCCGTCGCCCATCTCTTTCGTGACACCTCCAATGAGCAAAAGAAGCAAGGCCTTCTTCACGTCAAGGTGGCCGTAGATCTCAGGGGCAATCGAGCGTGCCAGGTACTCATACATGTTTCCAGACTTCTGGTGTTGTTCGATCTTGCGGAGAGTCCGGCTGTCCATCGCAAGTTCGTTGTATGACTTCTTATGTTGCGTAATATGCTGAGCCTCCATGTAGGTGTCGGTCAGCAATCCAGCACGGATAGCCCTAAATCCCGTGTATGGGGTGGGCAGGAAGATTCCTGCAATATCAACCACATCACCAGGGTTCAATTGTCGTGTCAGGCTGCCATGGCAGTGAACAGTCATTGTGCGGGGAATATGACCGACGGGGACCTGATCTGCCATCTCCTGAATCTTCACCTCTTGGAAAGGAACAAACTTCGAAGCACGAGTAGACAAGAACAGCTGTCCCTTGGAGTTGTTCTGTCTACACTCTTCTGACATGCACTCTGTCATAGGAAGGTATGATTTCGTAGTGATTGGTTGGAAGACCTCAGACCCACAGCGATCACAAGTGTAGGCATTGATTTGAACGGCTGGCTTGACATCCGAGACACGAGTAGTTATGCCGCGGACAGTGATCAAGCCACCGAGATGCTCCGCCCGTATATTTCGAACGGCAAGGGCTTTGGATTCACGTTCACTGCTTGATCCGGAGGGAGTAATTGGCTTGAAGTTCAGGGTGTATCGACGGGTTAATTCAGGGGGGAAGATCGAGGGCGTTGCTGCTGTGTCCGTGTCGGCTTCCATGGCCATTGTCATGGCCACATTCCGTTTTTCACGCTGTGACATGATAACATCCAGTACATCATCCTTGAATCTGTATTCGATCAGCCTTGGGGCTCGCCCAAACATTCGATTATACCACATACGTGATCTCCTTGGTTTCCTTGGGCATGACAGCATCGGCAGCCTGTGAGAGAACATCAACGTAGCGTTGGGTGTTCTTCTGCACGGATTCAACAAGCTTAAGGTCTACGTCCTCCGGGAGTGATTTCTCGAACTGCGATCATGTCAGCCACTGTGTCGAAGAACAAATAGTCGAGTACTCACGGTAGCTAGATCATCAAGTTCGATGAGAATATTTGTGCGCTCGCGGTCTGCCACATCCTGGAGCATCTGCATATATTTCAATTTTGGTTCGCGGCGCCTGCGGCTTGATCCTTCTCTTTGAGCTCCATTCTCATCTTCTGCATCATCCATAAAGTCATATTCATCGCTGGTGCGGTCTCCATCAATGTGCAAGTCTTCGATAGCTTCAGTCGCAGCGGATGCAGAAGCTGATTCGAATGTTTTGAAGTGCGTGAGGAAATCCTTGAAGGCGTCCAATTGCGCCGCATAGTCAACAGGAGCGTGGTACTGAAGCAAAGCCATGATGCGACAATGGGATGAGCCAGTTTAGTCGACAAATTAACTGGCAAGTGATGCGAATGGCGTCAGTACTAAACTCGCATCGACCTGGGGGGCAGAAGGAAGCGGCGGGCGTACTTTTGGTGTTCTCTCGGAGAAGTTGGTAGTGGATCAAATTCGGAACCCCAGCAACCTTAGACCCAGCAACCTGAGGCGCAAAAACACGTCGCGACACGAAACCGACGCGTTTCCATTCCATATATTACACTAGTCTCAAAAAATACTAGTGATATATGCACGTGTATCGGAGCGGAATAAGCCTCGGTCCGAAACCTATGGGCCGGCCGGCTCGGCGAACGGCGCATGGCGGGCGCTTGATTGCGGAGTCGATGTCCGGGGCCATAATGAGCTGCGGTCTTCTCTCTTCTTCAAGAGCTCTCTGCTACTTTAAAACAGAAGACGCATACCCTGTCAGCGCCCGAGAATGGCGCCCAAAAAACCCTCCACCACGGCCGAAGTTGCCCTCGTACCTTTAAAGAACTGTCTAGTGAACTTACCGCCGTCGCTGGTTGCACTGCTAG